GTGTCAGAGGCAGTGCGGTTGGCGCAGGATAGAGCAGGGTTTCGGGCTGTTGTGCATAGGGTTGCTATGAGTCGGAACGGCACATAACAACAACAACACAACAGTCTAAAACAGCTCAGTGCATCTTAAAATCAGCTTGTTTTCCTTCCCATTTGGAACTCTTGTAATTATACTACTTTTTCCCTCTTTTTGCTTTGTGGTTGTCCTCATTACTGGGCTGATATCCTCTTCCCTATTTTTAGTTTCTGGCATTTCTTTTACTTGATATATTTCTATGTTTGGGTGAGTTTCTGAATAATGTTGTCATGTGTGTTAATTTTCAGTTGGTGCTTGCCTGTGGTGGTTCTTTGTCCAAAAAACTCTTTAGTTTTTCTTGTCAAGTTGATCTGGTTTTTACAAATCCTTTTTATTTATATATGTCCTGATTTCATAATACTTGAAGGATAATTTTGCTGGCTATCTAATTACTGGCTAGCAATATTTTTCTGGCAGGATTTTTATATATCATCACATCACCTGCGTGGGTTCTGCTGAGAAATAACAACCTTACTGGTTCTTTTTGTATCTGAACTGTTCTTACTGGTTCTCTTTGTAACTGAACTGTTTGTTCATTTCGGATACAAGTCCACCACATTGAAATGTAAAGGAATGGAAGAATGTATCAGGATTAGAAGTTCAGTAGGAAGAAAACAGCTGCCTGGCTCATCCCTGAGGTTACAGGGCTGTGAGCCTGCTCTGTCCCCTTCAGCCTCGTTTCTCCATCCTGAAATGGAGATCACACATCTACTTTGCAGGGGGCTGGTGCTGGGCATGGCATTTTGCAGGAAAAGGAGCACTGTTTCCATGGATTCTAGTGTCTTTCTGCCCTCCTATCTGCTCTCATAGGGAACACATTCAGCACCCTGGCTGGACTCGTCTTCGACTGGACAGTTGTGAAGGACACAGAAGCAGATGGATTCTCAGATTCACACAACTCCTTACGGTAAGCAATGGCCTTCTCCCGGCCTTCACTTGGCCTGAATGTTTCTGAAATGAAGGAGCATGTCCCGTGGGGGCACCACGAACACTCACTATCTTCTGGGAGCCCAAGAAGTTTCCCAAGAAACTGAAGCCCTGTACCTGGTTGGGAGGGGAAGTGTCATGTCACACAGTGGCCCCAAGATTTCCTACTCTGCAGCCCTCTGGGTGTGCTGTCAGAAATCTTGGGAGAGTCAAGGTGTACAGCTGGAGAAGAGGACCTCGGCACTCCAGGACTGTGCCAGTTAATAGAGGGGCTGCCATGGGGACTGGGGGAGTAGGTGTGGTTTTTAAGGGAAGCCCCTCTGTGAAGGTCACATGTCCCAGAGAGAACATTGGAACATTGACGATCATCCATAGGGAATGGAGTGGGCTGACCCCGAGAAACAGGGCGGCAAATAGATTTACAAGATGGATCATTTAAGTATTTTTAAATATATGTACTTTTAGAAATATAAATATTCTTTGGTTTTGTAAAAATACAGACAACACATTTGCCAATTCAACATTTTCCTAAAAAAAAAAAAAAAACAACAACACATTTTCCTTGTGTGAAATTCAGTGAAACCAGTTGCATCAGTCAGGTTTGCAAACACCACCTATAGTTTTTTTGTCAAATTTTCTATCTCTATACACAAAACTCTTCTTTGTGCATTTTATATATCTGGCTGCTTCATCCAAAATGCCACTATCACTTGGGGTTTGGGGATTGGTTGGTTGTTTTTTTTCTTTTCATTTTTGTTATTGGTATGCATATACTTATTCATATACATTGTGTTTCTTTTATGTACATACTGGTGGAGGTGTTTTTTCTGTTTGTTTCACACTTTCCTTCATTAACATTGTGTTTCATGCAGTTTTTCCCACACACTGTGTTTTCAGGTCCCCCCTGGATCTTCCCCATTTCCTTTACCCCTCCCTTAACCAACCAAATTGTCCGACTCTCTGATTTCCCCTCTACACATCCTCACCAGTCTGCTCTCACCCCATTCCCCCTTGAACCTCCATACACGTTTTACTACTTATCCTTCTATTTTTCCAGTACCAGTTTTTACAATTTTATCACCAATAATAATACCATCAAATCAAACGAAAATAAAAGGCGTGGTTACTTTTCCATTTCAGCAAGGAAGTACCTCAGTGAGGAATGAATGAGTCTGAAGGGAATGCTGTTTGATTTTTGTTTCTTGCTCATGTTAATGAGTAAAGACCAAAGACAAAACAAGAAAAATACATGTTGGAACTTTGTTTCTTCTTTTTTGTGTTATCGTTTTATTGTGATGAAATATACATTAACAAAATTTTTCCCTCTTTGCTGTTTTTAGCTTACACTTCAGTGACACTATGTACATTCACTGTGTACAGAGAGCTGTCATTATTGCTGTCCATTTCAAAACCCTAAATAGAAATTCAATACTAGTTCACTGATACAGCTCCTCAGTGTGCTCTCCTGCCCTACCAGGGGTAATCAAAAGCCCATTATTTTTGTGTTTGTGTCTGTAAGTCCAACTCAGTGGTATTGAGTTTTTGAGTTAGAGATGACATAACCCTGCTTGCTAAAACTGAGGATGACCTAAAGCGTTTGCTGCAGAGCATCAAGGACTGCAGCCTTCACTACGGATTAAAGCTCAACATAAAAAAAAACAAAGATTCTCACCACTGGGACAGTTGGTAGCATCATGATAGATGGTGTAGAGATTGAGATTGTTAATAGTTTCAGTTTACTCAGCTCCACAGTCAACGCTATTGATACCAACACCCAGAAAATTAAAAGATGAATTGCATTAGGAAAGTCTGCTGTCAGAGACCTCTCCAAAGTACTAAAGAGCAATGATTTCAGTCTAGAGACTAAGGTGTGCCTGATCCAGGCCATAGGCTTTGCATTCACTCGCTATCCATCAGAAAGCTGGACAATGACTAGGGATGATAGAAGGACAATTGATGCCTTTGAGCTGTGGTGAAGAAGAGTATTGAATATACCTTGGATTACTAGGAGAACAAACAGGTTCATCCTAGAAAGGGTGAAGCCAGGCTTCTCTTTGGAGGCAAGTTTCTGAAGTTTCATCTGACATACTTTGAACATGTTGCAAGGCAGTATCTGTCATTGGAGAGGGACAACATGCTTGGGAGACTGGAGGGACAGTGCAGGAGAGGAAGACCTTCGATAAGATGGATTGATTCAGTGACTGGGTAGCGGGGGTAGGTGTGTCAGACACAGTAAGGTTGGCACAGGTTAGAGCAGGGTTTAGGGCTGTTGTACATAGGGTCGCTATGAGTTGCAGGTGACTCGATGGCACATAACAACAACATTAGGTATTTCATGCAAGTAGAAACATACAATACTAGTCTTTTTGACACTTGAGCTCACAGGGCACTCTAGATACTACTGTCACCGTTTTTCAGATAGAGAAAATGGGATTCAGAAAAGTTAAGTCAGTTGTGTGAGGTAAATAAGAAACCTACACAAACAGAAGAATATGCCATCTCACAGATAGGAAGTCTTAGCACTGTGAAAATGTCAGTACAACCAAAAGTGACCTGCAGATACATAATGCAATCCTGATTCTGATCCCATCATCCTTTTTGGTTTTGTCTCATCATCACTCTTAAAAGGCATAGGTAATCTCCAACTTCATAGACAAAGGAAACAAGACCCTGGATGAGCAAAGCATTATTGAAGAAGAGTAGCAAAGTAGGAGGCCTTACATTTCCTTTTCCTCTACTATCAGGAGCTCTGGTGGCCTAGTGGCAGAAAACTATGCTATAATATCAAAGCCATGTGGTTTGAGGCCACCAGTTGCTCCGTGGGAGAAGGATGAGCAATCTCCTCCTGTGTGCTTAACTGCCTCTGGAAACCTGCTAGAGGGTCAGCTGTGGGTCAGATCTGACTGGACAGTAAACAGCCATCACCACCACAGGGTCATGATGGTCATAACAATCTAGGATGGTCCCGCAGGCACATAGATCGGTGGGATAAAATAGAAAACCCAGAAATCAGTCCATTCACCTGTGGAAGGTGGTGATCTTTGGCAGAGAGATAAAATCCACATAGTGGGGGAAATGCAGCCTTTTTAATAAATGGTGCTAGCAAAATGGATTACCTATGGAAAATTAAACACAAACTATACTTAAAAATACACACAAAAACTAACCCGAAAAGGATCAAGGATCTAAATGTAAAACTTGGAACTAGAAAGATCATCAAAGAAGAAGGGCAAACCTCTGGGCTGAGCCATACTCTATATCATAAATGACTGTCAAACATAATGGAAGTTGTCCACTCAGCAGAGGATAAGCTAGATGATTCGTACCTTCTAAAAGTTTAATATTTAGCAGCAACATACCTGAGAAAAAATGACTCTAAAATGTATAGAAAACTCCCAACACCTCTACAAAAAAGTGACAGCTCAGTTACAAACTGGGCACATGACATGGCAAACACTTCACATGGCCAACAAACACATGAAGAAGTGCCCAAGGTCATTAGTTATTAGAGAGATGCAGATCAGTACGATGAGATGCATCTCAACACAGCTGTAATGGCAAAGTTCAATAGGCAACAAGTGCTGGTGAGGATATGGAGATCCCAGAACTCTCCTATACCTCCAGTAGGAATATAAAATTGGGGCCACCACTGTGGAGTGTAGTTTGATGGTTCCTTTAAAAGCTGGGAATCAAAATTCACCAGTGGGACTGCTATGCATATTCCTAAAGCAGTAAGGGCTGGAACTTGACTAGTTACATGGCCACCCATGTTTGCTATAGCATTGTTTACATTGGCCAAACAACCCAAGTGTCCATCAACAGTTGAATGGATAAGCAGACCATGGTACGTACACTCGGTGGAATAGTGTCGCTGCTGGTGGTGTGTACTGTCAAGTTGGAACCAGCTCGTAGTTGGCCTTCAGCAGGTTTCCAGAGGCATTTATTCACATGGGAGTAGATGGCCTATCTTTCTCCTGTGGGACAGCTGGGGGATTGGAACCACATGCCTTTGGGTTGGCATCCCAGCTTCTTATCACTTAGCCACCAGAGCTCCCTCAGTAGAATACCAGGCAATGCTGAATTGAGAAATCCACCAAGCCAAGCATAGCATGGATGAACCGAAAGAACATCATGCTGAATGAAATGAGTAAGCCACGAGGATAACTACTGTGTGAGTCCTGTTTTATAAAAAGCTGAAGAAAGATTTCACAGACAGAATGGTGCATTCTTGGTGTCCAGGGATGGCAAGGGATGCAGAAGAGAGGAAAACTCGTTAACTAGATAATGGACACATTCAGAGGAGCAAACATGCAAACATAACTCTCATTGAGCCACTGGGACCTCCTTCCTGCTCACCCTCCAGCAGGTTTATGAGGCTGTAAATCTCAGTCTTCCTCCTGTGGAACCACTGGTGGGTTCCAGCTGCCAGAGGAGGAGGGCAAGGGCCTCCCAGAGTTAGCAGCACAGCTCCCTATGGTATGTCCCACTCCATGGCACAGCAGTAACAGGGCAGCCCCGCTTCTAAGCCCACACCTTCTGACTGTCCTCCAGGGGACACAAGAAGGTGTGATCGCCCATCGGACCCAGAGCAGGAGCTGGACCAGAGGGGACGTTGGTGGCCTGCTTGTTCATACTAACAGGTTCCACTTTTCCCATCTGTGAAATGGAAGCAGTCCTCAGATTCCACCTTTTGTCAGTATCATAAGATCAAATGCCTCTGATTCATGCAGACAAAGATTAGACTGGGGCCAAGGGTTTGTATCGTGATCCTAGCACATTGGCAGCTCTGATGTGGGAAGTTTTAGGGAGGCATTATTCTTTTAACCGCTCTCGTGAGCATTATCCCTGAACGTCTGGGTCTAGCACACGGTAGAAGGGTTGCATAGATGAGTAGGTGTTGGTGCATTGGCTGTATCAGGTTGGGTGCATCAGGCCGGCTGAGTGAGCCCTGACTCTCTGTTCCAGAATCCTCACTTTCTTGGAGTCAACATACATCCCTCCTTCCTACATCTCCGAGATGGAAAAGGTGGCCAAGCAAGGGGACACCATCTTGGTGTCCGGCATGAAGACTGGGAGTTCCAAGCTGAAGGCACGCATTCAGGAAGGGGTCTACCAGGTAGGCTGGGTGCAGGGTGGCCCTGGACCCCGTTGGTGGGGGGCTGCGCTCTTGCTGACTCCTGTGGGCGTGACAATGGAAGTGTGATAGTGTCAGAGCCTCACTGCCAACTTCATGTATTTTCTCGTGGCTTAGATTGGTTGGTTGAGGGTTTTTTGACCATTCTTGAAGAGAGATTTGAAATCACAAAAGTGCTGCTTTCCCAGTTTTGAAGCAGGTTCGAAACTAGTAGCGAAGAGCGATTCTCAGCAATTACTTTCTTTCTTTTTTTTATTTTTAATAATTTTAATGAAAATTTACAGAGACTTAGGGTTTCCATCCATTCATTATTGCACTTTTCTTCCTGCCCACCCCCAACCCCTAATTCACTCTTCTCCTTGAGAAATAAAAGAAAAACTCTTTCATTTCTATGCAATCCCTTCCCCCAAGTCCACTGAGTGCAGTCTTCATTCTGGACTCCTGTCATGACAATAATACCCAATCATATATCCCTATTAAATGGTTCTCTCCCTCATCTGTTTCAATGCAGTATACATCATTCCTCTCTTCCTTATCTGTCTTCCCTCAACCCCGATGTCAGTCCCGTTTTACAACAGTGGCCCTATGTAATATTTGTCCTTTCGTGACTGAGATATTTCGCTCAGCATAATGTCCTCCAGGGTCACCCATTTTGTATAATATTTCATGAATTCCTTGTTTTTCAATGCTGCATAGTATTCCATAGTGTGAGTATACCACAGCTTTTCTATCCATTCCTTTGTTGATGGTCACTTAGGTTGTTTCCAACTCTTTGCTATTGTGAACAAAGTCACGATAAAACATGGGTGTGCATATATCTGCTTGGGTGGCAGTTATGGTTTCTTTAGGGTATATTCCCAGTAGTGGAATTGCTGCATCAAATGGTATCTCTATTTGCAACTTTTTGAGAAAGCGCCATCCAGCCTTCCACAGTGGTTGCACCATTTTACACTCCCACCAACAGTGAATAAGGGTTCCAGTTTCTCCACAACCTCGCCAGCATTTGATGTTTGCTGTTCTGTTAAATTTTGCTGTTCTTACTGGCGTGAGATGATATCTCATAGTTGTTTTGAGCAATTACTTTCTTTTCTCACAATACTCTGCCCCAGTGAAGGGACATGCCTAAGCATTTGGCGCTCTGTGAAAAATATATGAGGCTCCTAGGCATCTTTCATGCCATTTTCTTGATCTTAATTTAAGACCCATTCTAGAATGGGACTCGAGTCTTTTGTTCATAGGGTTGTTTTGAGTCTTGCTCAACTCATCAGCACTTAACAACACATACTTGATTACCCCATTTATAAAAGGCTAGGGCTCCACCCCAGATGCAGGACCATTGTAACCTGGTTCCCTGTTGACATCCATAAGTAGAGCAGAGGAACGTGTTTAACCATGTCCTGACTGTCTTCATGGGTGAATTTTTGCCCAACCTGTAATTGGAGACTGCTGTCTGTGTGTCTCCTTCTGAAATGTAAACCTGACACTTGTTTGCACAAGGGAGGAAGCTTGTGTTGCTTCATCTTCCATTTAATGTTGTGAAGTAACAAAGAGAAGCCCCCTTGAGTAATGGTGGTTCCTGGACCATTTGGGAAAGCTGAGGGCATGTCACATCCAGGCCTAATCCTACAGTTCTCTGTAATTTGCTTATTGGTGTTCTGGGTGCCCATGGGAACTAAATGGCCTTCTCTTCTCTGGGTGGCACAAATGTCCAAACATTCAGGCTTGACTGAAAGGCTGGTGGTTTAAATCCTCCCAAAAGTGCATTGGAAGAAGGGCCTGGTGATATGCTTTGGTGAGGTCCCAGCCGTTGCCTATCCTCCACTCTGCAGTATGGTTGACTTTGACCTTCTGTGCTAGAAAACACTTGCCTTGGAGCCAGCACTATGTTGGCACCCAGTGCAGGTTTTGATTTTCTTTCTTCTAAATGTGTCTGATAGTGTATTTTATCTTATTTCATGGAGGAGCTCTGGTGGCATAGTCCATAGTGTGTTGTCCTGCTCGGCAAAAGGCCGCACTTTTCTATTGGTTTGGGTCCACCAGCCGCTCCACAGGAGAACGATGGACAGTCGCCTCCTGTTGAGATTGACAGCCTCGGAATTCCAGTCAGTGATAGGGAGCTGGGAACTGTGAACCTCCTCCATGGCAGTGAGTTTGAGTCTCTGAGGTTTTTATTTTCTAAGAGCGAAAGGAACAGTGAGGGGTTAGAACCAGTTCAGAGGAGACTCCAGAAAGCAGATGCATGTACAGGCATCAGGAATGAAAATACAGATAGGTGCAAATCTGGTCCCTAGTCAGTTGCACCTGTCCCTGAGAAAGCGTATTTGCATTTGAGTGGACAAGAATTATTTGCATTCCTTTTTGTTCTCTACCACTTACAGAGTCAGCCATGAAGTAGCTCAAAGACAGTGTAAGGTCTGCCCTAGAATCAAGTCACCCAGAGGGATGTGTTGACAGTGCCTCCAGCTTCTTTCAGAGTTTTTCTGATGAGGAGGTCACATGTGAAGGATGAGGGGTGGACAAGAAGGACACATCTGTCAGAAACACGCCTGTACCTCTACCCCTGTTCAGGTTGCCCTGAGGCCCTCCAGCCTCTTGGATTTCAGGGCTTTGTGAGAAGTGAGCCCTAGAGCACATACTCCCGACACCTCTGTTTTAAACTGAGATCTACATGGAGTAAACGAAGGTGCCCACGCATGTTAGTAATGACCTCTGAATTCTCATGCCTTTCGTACAAGGCTGTCTCGGGATTTGGGGAATCTGAGGGTGTTAGCTTTTGAATATCACTTTTTTTCCCCTCTTAACTTCTCTGTCTCTGTACAGACATAGTGAAGCCCTTTAACATTCTCTTCCTTTGTCTTTCCCACACTGCTCATCTACCCTCCTCGTTATACTAGAACGTCCGCCCCGCAGAAGTCAGGCTGCTGATCCTGGAGAACATCCTCCTGAACCCAGCCTATGATGTCTACCTGATGGTGGGAACCTCCATCCGCTACAAAGTGCAGAAAATCAGACAGGGAAGGATCATAGGTATGTGCACCCTCCCCTCGGCAGTCAAGGCAGCTGCCTCTCTGGGTTGTGAAAAAGTCAGGGGACCCTCCTTGCTATGTTGCTGATCCAGGAACAGGGTCCCGTCCTTTTGCCCGGGTCTGCCGTGTGCTCCTGAGCAGTGTTGGGCAGTCTGTGCCCTTTTCTGGTGTCCAGTCTGTCCACAAGAGACCTGGGGCCTTTCTAGCTTGTTGGTGAGGTCAAAACTAACTAACAGATGTGGCGTTGTTTCGACATGTCATATATTCTAGATGAGGAATATTCTTAATGTACCAGCAGTTTGCTTAAGAATTATCAGGCTTTAATTAACTTTTTATTTAGTGAGGGCTCCAGTAAGACACGACAGCAAGTTCAGAGGACACTGCTGAGAACAGATGCGTGCACAGGCATGCCGAAATGCATTTACAAGTGGATGTAAACCTGTTCTGTAGTCATAGAACAGTAGACAACTGCAGTAGAGGAAATATGTTTGCAAATGCACGGATGAGGATTGTTTGCTTTTCTACCAGTTTTCTTGCTGACTTATGAAATAGCTGTAAGAGAGTGACTGCATTTTGTGTAAAGGGTATTTGTATTGAATGGATATAACACAGGCATCCTGGAGTTAATGTCCGTAGTCCTATGCTCAGGCCAGTGCAGATTCTTCTCTGTAGCTTCAGGCTTATGTCTGCCATGGGAAGTAGGGGTACATTTAGCAGGCAGATAGGTATTTAGCATACGGGTAAGTTGAGCTCACTCCATAGACCCTGAAAGATGCTGTCTCGATTCTAACTGCCAGAAAACATGGCCTTTGGGTTAGCAGCACATCAGCCTATGGACTACGACACCAGAGCTCCCGACACATGGAGAAAACAGATGTCAAAAGAACAGGTTCAGCCCTAAATGTGGTTTCCTGAGACTCCAAAAGGCAGGAAGCCCACAGGTGGAGCGCATAGGTATAAGCTCCCAGGTGCGCTGAGGCAGCACGCTGAGGGGAATACAGTTGGCTGGTGTCTTAAAGGACCAGAGAGCGGAAGGAACAGACTCTCTGAAATAGGAAATCACACATAAATACAGACGAGAAAGGGGCACCGCAGCCTGTGGGAAGATGGTATGAAAGGCCAGGTTGCTGCTGAGAACTGTGATTGAGTAGCTTCTATGGGCTGGGCCCGGTTCTAAGTGCTTTTCATGTGTAACCTCCTTACCCCTTGTTTTATACCAACAACCTGGGAGGTAGATGATTTAATGAAAAGCTTTTAGAGCTCTTAATAAAGAGCTTTTACAGAACAATTTAATAAAGAGATTTTGAAGAGCTCATTTTCAATCAGTTCAAGTATCCTGATGCAGAAGTATACTTTGCAGGGTAGCAAGAGGTGGATGCTGTTAACGCCATCATTTGTATAGTTGACCACTGGATTGCCAGTGGTGTGGTGGTCAACGCTCTCCTGCTTTGAACCTGATATATCAGGGGTGGGAACCCACTAGCTGCTCCATAGGAGAAGGTGTGGCAGCCTGCTTCCATAAAGGGTTATAGTTTTGGAAACTGAGTCATAATTGACATGGCAGGAGTGGGTTTGGTGTGGTTTGGGACTGATGATTTTCCAAATATTGGCCAATGAGAGCTCCATCGATCATAATAGTCTGTGTCTGATACAATGCTGGAAGGTAAGTCCCCTAGATTGGAAGGCATACAAATCTACAGTGGTAGCAGCAGCGGGCCATTGCATGCCAGAGATCGGGAGATCTTGTGGCCTAGTTTGGAGGGGACTGTGCTGCTAGTCCACAGGCCATACTTATCTGGTGGTTCAAATCCACCAGTCTCTCTCAGGGAGAAAAGGAGCAAAATCTCCTCCCTTGTGATTTACAGCCTGGCAAACCCATTGGAGGGTCAGCTATGAATGTGTTCTGACTTGATGGCAAAGTGAGATGAAGTGATTGTCAATGTGGTGCAGGACATTTCGTTCTGTGGTACCTAGGGTCCCATGAGTCACAGCCAGCGTGAGGACAACTACCACTAAGGGGTGGGGATGCTGATGGTCCGTCAGAATAAGATCACAGGCTTCCAGAACCTGGGCCTTAGTCACTCCTCCAGAATGAAAGGGACCTCTTTTTCTGTTGCTTCTCACCTCAATAAGGAAAAGCAGGAAAATGTTCAACATAACAAAAAGGAATTTTCAGCTCTCTCAGGGACAAAGCACATAGTCCCTACGCATGACGCCTGAGGGCTGTGGAAATTGACCAGCTTGACCCCAACAAAGAAGGGCAGAACTCGTAAGAATGAAGGTGGAAGGGAACCCTGGTAACCTAGTGGCAAGAAGCTGAATTGCAATCCCAGAGGTAAATGGTTCAAATCCATCAGATGCTCTGCTGGAGAACGAGTGGCCGTCTCCTCCTGTGCCAGTCAGATCCAATTTGACGGTACACTCACACAAAATAATAAAATAAAAAAAGAAGAATGAAGGTGGAATGGTTTAATAAAAGCTCTTTTTTTTTTAAGAACTCACATCACTTTAGTTGAAACATGGCCAAAAGGAATTCTACTTCCCAGGCTAGTGTTGCTATAACAGAAATGTCGCACATGATTTCTTTAACAAACAAATTTATTTTCTCACAAATTCATAAGCTGGAAGTCCAAATTTAGGTCCCCAGCTCTAGTGGGAGGCTTTCTCTATGTGTCAGCTCCAGAGGAAGGTCTATTGTCTCAGAGCTGCTGCTCCTAGATGGTCTTTGTGAGGCTTATCCCCGTGTCCCTCACTATGCCCAGCTCGTTAGTTTAATCCCTTGTATATCTCAAAAGAAATTGACAAGATAACCCCTATATACTAATCCTGTCTCATTAATGTAACAAAGGCAACCCATAGTGATTGGGATTTATAACACATATTTTGGGGGGAAATCATTCCATCCTTCACGTCATGAGTACCAAGAAAACCTCATTGCTGACCTGACATAGAAGCCAAAGAATCCTAGCACACCACAGAGACCTTAGCACAGGACGGAGGCAGGTTGTGTCCCTTTCATCAGTGGGACAATGAGATAAAAAAGTCTTCTGTGCGGTAAACACACCTGTCACAGTGTTGGAGTGCTTATCAGAAGGGTGAGTTTGGAAGGGAAGGAGGAGCCAGTGGAGCTGGCAGCATCTGACCTTTTCTAACTTCAGCTGGTAGGGCAGAATTTAAATCAGCAGCCCAGAGCTAATTAGCGACAAGGTGCAGGTCAGACATACCTCCTCCCTCTGACCTTTTTACCAATTCTGACACCAGCCTTAATGCCCACGGCATACTGCTTCGCTGCTGGACTTGATAATTTGTTGTAAGGTCCTCACAGAGGTCAGAGCAACTTGAACGAGAATGGGGCTTATTAGGAAAGTTAACAGGTTACAGTTAGTAAGAATAGGCAGGACCCTGGCCTTTTGAGCCAGTTCAGTCTCTCCTCTGCTCAGGTGAGTGTTGCAAAACTCTTTCACCCAACCTATAAATACCTGAGGCGCCCTCTCTGCCCGGCAGCCTCCTACCCAGAGGTGCTCAGCCCCTCCCTCTGTGGTCTGGAAGGCCTCCTGTGCTGTCTCATGCCAGTGTCCTGTTTCTGCCTTTGCCATTCTCCCTGGCACTGCTCTTCACCATGTCCAGCATGACAGCTCTCTGTCTCCTGAGTTCCCAGCCCAAAGACCTTGGGTCCAGATGAACACCCCATGCCCATCTCTTCTTGGAGGCAGTGACGTTCCTTCTTTCTGTCTCTGGGATAATTCATTTTAAGCCTAGTGGGATGACAAAACTGACCAGTGTCCTCATTAGAGTTCCATGTAGCTTATTTACGTGGCCCCACCCTCATAAGTGTGAGGACTTCACATGCACCTTATTTGCATTATTATCAAGCTGTCCAATGTCCTTGGTGGACCAGAGCACCTTATTTGCATGGTGTCACTCAATCGTTTGACAGAAGTTCCAAAGACCATGGCTAGAAGGGCCATCATCACATTAAATCATTCGCTGTACTATTTTCAAGCTTAGTTTTTGTTTTTGTGGGTTGTTTCCCCCCCCCCCAAAAAAAATTTAGGCATGATTCCTGTTACTGTTATTCTTAACAGATTGCTAATCAGGAAAGTGAAGGGAATGCTGCCGTTACTCAGCTCATTGCCATTGAGTACATTCTGACTCAGGGTGACCCTCTGTCCCGTGTCCAAGACTGTACATGCTAACAGAAGGAGATTGCCTATCGTTTTCTCCTGGGGCGCATCTGGTAGGCTTACGCTGCCAGAGACACTCAGCGCTTTGGTTAACAGTGCAACACAGTACAGGCTGTGCCTCCAGAACCCCAGTGTCGTTAAAGGGACCTGCATTTCAACAAGTCGCGATTCCTCGACAGCATGCCAGTCTGTGGACAGGTCACATAGGTGACAGTTTCATGCACTTCCTTACAATATGGGTGATTGACCTAAAATTCATTCTTCACGTTTTGTTTTCCTTCCTTACAAATATGTGGTTGTGTTGGGGTTCCCCCCCCCTTTCCATCTGTATTGCCCGCCTTTCATTTGGTGGGGAGGGATGCGGCTTTCATTTCAAGACCTTGAACTGAAGACCTGCTCTGCACCCTCCCTGTGCTGATGTTGGGAGTGCAGTAGTCAGTAGGGCTGAGCTCCTTGTCCAGGAACGAGGAGCCACTTCTCCAGGAGGGCCTTTGGGTGAGTGCCTCTGTTTGAGCCAGGGAGGGACTCTGTGCGCTGGTCATTGGAGGGAGCTGGTTCTAGTGGTGACCCTGGGTCTCTGTCACTCCTGTTCGGTGTTTGAATTAGTTAAACACACACATTTATGCCACAGCCCCCAAATGGACAGGGGCTACAGATTCAGGAGGGGTATGGTGGCCCATGAAGTCATACCTGAATAGGACACGTTGGAGATAAAACATGCTGAAATTTGAGAAACTAGTGCATGGATACATGTCGGGCTAGGATCCTCCTGTTTCAGGGACCTGGAGGCCAGTGCACAGAGGACAGAGGACACGTGCTGCTCCAGACTCATGAATGCACTCTGGCTCCCAGGTGTGAATCCTTGGCCACCTTCTCAGGGTGACCACCCTGTCAGTTCCACGTAAAGGCACTGGGAGGGGTTAAACTCCTGTCACCCTCAGTAGACTCATTTATCCAGTGTCTCCAGGGCCACGCTAGAGCCTCCATGCAGGGTGGTGCACACTCTGACAATCTGAAGCCTGTCTAGGGGTCAGCCACAGTAGAGAGGGGTCCAAGATATGCTCCTGAAGGAGCACAGGATACTTGGTCTAGAGAAGGAATGCCAAGGGGGTGATCGTTTGCTGTCGCAGAAGCAGCCTTCCTCTGGCTGTGGCCCGAGACTGTGGAGCCAGGAACTGAACTCACAGATGTTGAGGGCTTCGGTATTTTAGGAGTAGTGAGCTCCACTCAGCGCAGCAAGAGTTATCTAAGGAATATGCCAAGTCAGCCCGTTATGCTCATAATCTTAACGTCTCTTAAAGAAGGTTGCATCTGTGTTATACACAACCCCTCAAGAGTCAGTTGTTCTGCTTCCAAAAGAGCTTTCTTTCTTTGGAGAACTGTCAGGCAATCCAGGGAGAATCTTGTGCTCATAAAAGCCACAGGAAGTAATATCACTTAGCTGAGCAATTGCGTTGCTTTTATATGACACTCACCCTGATACACTGCTGTCGTATGTGAGCACGAGGTCCCTCTGAGAATCAGAAGCTTGCTTAGACTAGACTTTGCCTGTTGCTGTTAGATGCTGAGTACGACTCACAGCAATTCCTGTCCTGTCCTGTGCCATCCTCACAGTCGCCGACACACCGTAGGAAGGGTAGTCAGAAAGTACTGACTCAGTAAGAGAAACGAGGCCAGAAATAGGATGACTGAATTGTGTACATTGAAGGATTTATTCATTGTAAATACCTTTTTTAAAAAAACCACAAATAGTGACTTTACATACAGACATCACCAGGTAGGTGGATGATATAGGAATCAGATTGATTATGTCAGTGGAAAGAGACGTTGGAGAATCTCAGTGTCAGCAGTCAAAACCAGAGCCAAGTGCCGACTGTGAAACAGACCATCACCTACTTAGAGACCAGGAAATGGGCTGTGGATACTCTCCAGAGTTCCCAAGCTTCTGAGGGCATTGGCGGCACGCCGAGGCTTATTAACGGCCAGTGTCTGAGGCAGCAGCTCCGCGGCAGTGCTGGTGGTCTAGGGAACACGCGTAGAGAACCTGCGGCCAGTGACTGCAGCCTGATTCCCGGGAATTCTGAACAAAGGTTTTAGTTGACGGTGTTCCAGGAGCTTTCTGTGACATCTGCGGTGCTAGACCTTGACCTGGGACTCAGGGGGATAAGTGGGCACGTGGGCCCTTAGCATGTGCTTCTCTGGGCCCTTTTTCCTCTCCTGGAGGGACAGAACATGACTACGTCCAGTGAGCTCATCCCTGCATGGGAGGTTCTAAGGACTCAGTGGAGGGCATCAGAGCTTAGCTAGACCTCTTCATTTGAGTCCTAGCTCTGCCTGACTGTGGGGTCATGAGCTCATCTTCAGCTTGGCTCTGACACTCCTCCGTCTCTCAGACATGGGTGTCAGTAGTAGCACGGGCTCTGGGGTTGTAAAGGGCTACACTTGGCACAGGCCTCGCATGTCTTGATTTCTGGGCCAGTGGTGACCGTTTGATATCTACAGTGCTTGATCTCTGCCTGCCAGGTGAGGAGGAAACATAGATGTGGGAGTTTCATACAGCCTGTGATTTCCCTGGGCAAGTTGGTCTCCAGCCAGGCTCAGGGCAGGCACGCTTTTTCCCCCAAAATGTACTCGATATGACACTGAACAAGAATAAGCTGATGAATGGTCAGCTCAGTCACAGTTCTCTGCAAATTACAGACCCAGTTCTGGAAACCTGGTAGGAGACTATTGACCAGGGCCTTTTATAAACCCCTAGAGGCTAAACAGGTCCAGGGAGGTGTGCACAGTCCCCCCCATGCAGGAGCAGAGTCCTCCTGCTTCTGGAAATTTCCCTGCAGTGATCGAAGGAGAAAAGACTACTATTAATGTTCTCCAAGCAGCAGGCCATTTCACTCAGAGGCTGCAGTTAATTTAAAAGGGGAAAAGCAGATTATAGCAGATCCAGAAAACTCATTACTTCTAAAAACTCATGGAGAGTGATGAACATGGAGAAGAATAATTATAAAACGGGGGGAAAAGTAAGCAAGAAGCCCTAGCAGCTGGACTGACAGCAGGGTCCAGGGGTTTGGGGAGCATGTGTGTGTGACACTGATCGAGTGGCTTCTGCTGAGCCGCAGGCCCCCTCCTGCCCTTCCTCTCTCTCACTGCTTTTTCTTCTTTGTTTGTGGAGCCAGAACTCATGATGCCCTCGGACCAATATGAGCTACAGCTTCAGAACAGCATCCTGGGCACAGAGGGAGACTCGGCCCAGCCTGTAGCCCTCCTGGACCAGGAGACATCCACTGTCACTGCCCTGCAGCTGGGAAAGAGCAACCTCGTCCTCTGTCACAGGAATATCCTCTTCCCTGGTGTGCATGTGTATACCGTGTGTGTGTGTGTGTGTGTGTGTGTGTGTGTACTTGTAAGCCAGACGTAGGCTAGAAAAAAATATTTGTTTTCCTCCCACCATCAAAAACTCAGACCTAAATTAGCACCCCTGCAAAGTGAAATTGTTCACCACTGCCAGTGAGGCAAGGAGAGGCTCCTGGAGGCTGGGCCTGGCATGAGCAGTCACTCCAGGGCCACAGGGACGTCTCACACGTCGGCTTGTGGGTGGTGGATGATCTGGACTCATCCCGTGACTGCAGGCCCTTGGCCAGCCTCAGCAGCATGACGTGTCCTTTGATTCTGAATTTGCTCCACTCAGCCCAAGCCAGGCGGTTTGTGTTCCCCATTCGATGTGAGGGATACCCCGATGTCATCTAGCCATGGGAGCCAAGCTCTGAACTGCCACTGGACTGTCTGTGCTGCTCCTTAACTGAGGCTGCAGGCATCCGCATGCAAGGGGCTTCCAGGTTACCCAACAGCACCATTTACATTGTGGAGCCTGGCTACGTGGGTAAGTGCCGTCCCTCTGTGATGGAATTCTTTTTTAAAGAAATAGAAACAGGGAAGAAAGCACAGCTGACAAAATGCTTCATGTCTCAGGCCAAAGCCTGGGTACGTCAGCTTTCCACTCTCACTTGGGGGGCTGTTGCCCTGCCCTTTCCTGTCAGTGTGCAGACAGAGTGAGAGAGACGGACCAGGCAGTCAGAGGAGCCAACCAGGGCAGCATTGTCTCCTGACTTTTGAGCAAGGGCTTTGTTGAGCTCTGACTACTGCTGTGGACATTTGGAAGTGGGAGACCCATAATCAGCTCTGCTTTGTAGGTGCTATGAGATGATGTGGCCGTTGAAAGGTCCATTGCTGGGAAAGTAGAGGAGGCATTTGGTCAAGAGCAGAGGGAGGAATCCATAGCAGTGTGGATGAGGTCGACACCCCCATGTTCCCGAGGCGGTCATGACAGCACCTGAGAGATGCTGGAGACATGCTTGTCTTGCCTGGTCTCCATGGCAACACTCTTCCAACTGCATGGACTCACCTGTCGGGCACACTGAAATAGTTCAGTTGAGACAGCACTTGATCAGGGCAACTTGCAGTGCCACTGAAGATAGCAAGCCAACATGCTGTGGTGGTCCTTGTCAGGGTGGACCTTTGTGCTGTGGCAGGACTTTCTGTGCCCTGTGCCAGACTCGAGCTCCCTGGGGAGGGGAGACACCTTCCTCTCTTCATGGAGGGGCAGGGAACCAGCTCAACAGGCAGCACCAGATCATTTATAACTAAGCACAGAGGGCCAATTTCAGGGAAATACTTGATAGTTCTCTCTAGGGGCCGTTTTTAAAAGAAGGGCCTTGTGATGATGAGCAGACTGTGGTGGGCTGAGATGGGAAGGACCAGGATGCAGTGGAGAACTGACAGGCACATTCGTGAGGGGAGTGCCATGTCTGGCCAGAGGGCAGGTGTACCTGAGGGGGGCTTCTGGTGTGGGGAGTGCTCAGGATGCTGTGTAATGAGCACCTGAGCAGTCAGTGGGGTTTGCCTGTCACGGGTCCCTCCTTGGGGTTGATGGTGGCATGAGGCCCTACCCTCCTGGTGCTTTGCCAGGCATTCCCCAGGCGTGGCCCTGGCTCCTGGCTGTAGGCCAGCAGAGTCTGTCCTCTGGGGATGTGGGACGTAGTCCCATCCTCTTGACTCTTGTCCCAGGGCCTGTACGGTCATTCTTTGTTGCTCGCCTGTTTGCAGGGTTTACAATTCACCCTGGTGACCGATGGGTGCTTGAAATGGGCCGTCTGTACGAAGTCACCATCGACGTGTTTGACAAGTCTAGCAACAAAGTCTATGTGACGGAGGTGAGTGCCCACAGGGGGTCCTGGGAGGAGTGGGGTGGGGTGTCTCTTGGAGCTGCTGCCCAAGGAGTATCCCTCAGCACCAGGGGCTTCCAGGTGGGTGTCTGGGCAGTTGGGCGCTCTTAACATCCTCATAAGAAGCAGATATGAGGGCTCTTTGGGGCATCTTGGAACATAGGACCCTGTGAGTCCGCAGGCTGGGGCCATGTCAGGTTGATGCTGGGGTCCTCTCAGGATGCTCATCATGGGCTGGAGGGAAAAGACACCATGAGAATAGTGAACAGGGGAGCCAGAGGTTGTGCCCCCTGCTGCCTCCCTTTCTCTTTCAGGCTAGAGGTCCATCTGCCTGCTCTGTAAGGCCCAGGACATCCTTGCTGGCCCAACCCCGAGAGCCAGCAGTGCTCCATGGGGAGATCTCAGTGTGAGCGCATTATCTTGCTGGCTCTGGAAGAATACATCACATATGTGGGACAGCCAGAGGCGTCCTGCAAAAATGAAATCCTTGGGGCTACCAGCTAGAATATTGAGGCCCCTTCTAGGTTCCCAGAGCTTTGCAGTGGGGATGGCACAAGTCACCTTTTGGCTTCTCAACAGAAACCACACTTCTCCCCTGTGGTTGACACCTGCTCGCCCCACCCCCTCTTTTTTGAAGTGGGTTTGGAGGCATTTGGATGTGCATTCTTGGTTAGGGTTAGGTTAACTTGGTTTCTTTGTGGAGACGTCAGGGCTAAGGAAGATAGTGGTAGCACATGAGCCCCCCAGGGATCCTTGGAGGAGGGTGGCCTGGAAGAGGCACAGACAGAAGTCAGTCGTGGTCACTTCCTAAGTGCTGGGGATTCGGCTGTGTGCCTTCCCCCTGCTGGACCTGGTCTGGCTGCTGCGTGTGGTTTGCAGACCGACGTCCCCTGTGCCAGCCCAGAAACACCTCTCACCTCCCTGCCTTGTCTTGCAGAACATTCGAATTGAAACCGTGCTCCCTGCTGAGTTCTTTGAGGTGCTGTCATCCTCCCAGAATGGGTCATACCATCACGTCAGAGCCATCAAGAGGGGCCAGACAACCATCAGTGCAGCCCTCACCTCTGTGGTGGACCAGGCACGGAGTCCCTGCCCTCCCCGCACCCTAGCCCTCAGCCCACAAAGTAGGCCTCCCCTGGGTGCCAGGGCATCATCAGCTCCACTGAGCCCCACTCCCTGATGCCCGGGGCACCTCACCCTCTGGACACTTCACTACACAGGAGAGCCTGGGCAGGAGCTCTGAGCTTTCCTGCCTAGACTCTGGGCTGGAGTACCCTTCTTTCTTGTCTCTGCTCCCAGCGTAAGTCAGTCAGCTCTCCCTCGCACTGGGGACAGGAAAGAGGATGCTAACTGAGCCAGTGTCCTCAGCCCACTTTAACCAGGGGCTGTTGGTATTTAAAAAGCCTGTCAGCTGAGGCTGGAGCCATGATTTACTGATTGGAGAACTGTCCAGGGTTTTCACTGCACAGCTCTTGCAGAGCTGAAAGAGGCATCCAGGAGTATAAAAGATAAACAGCCCTGGGACCAGGCAGCAGGTTTTTAGCGAAGTCTACCTCTTCATCTGTGAGGACTTTGGGTGAGGGGCCTCAGCTCTCCAAGTCTCAGTTTCTCCATCTATAGAGTGGGTACAATGGTTTCACCCTCGTAGGGTTTCTGGAAGGACCCAGTCAGGCAGTGCCTGCGAGAGAGGCCATGGAGGCTGTCTGGTCACTCCCCTCTTCGCTCCCACAGTCACAGCAGCTTCTTCTGGCCTGACACCCAAGGAAGGCAGGGTGTGGGTGTCTGGGGAAGAGGGTGCGAGAACCTGCTTGTCATGGTAACTTGGGTGTCTCACTGCCTGTAGGATGGAGGAGTCCACACATTACATGTGCCTGTGTGGAACCAGCAGGAGGTTGAGATTCATGTCCCCATCACCCTCTTCCCTAGCATCTTGACATTTCCATGGCAACCAAAGACAGGCGCCTACCAGTACACAATAAAGGTAACCATGGGACCTCAGCTCTGGTGCTTTCCTGGGGGTATTCCTTGGGATTGGGGCTTTTGTTTATTCCATTTCTGCTAATATTAGCCTCTGGCGGTTGAGGAGGATTTTAGATCATCTCGTCTTTGTATTTCTTGTTTCCTAAGCTCTCTGTCCCAGCAGTGGGGTTTTGGTAAGCAGGCAAACACACACAGGAGAGCCAAGAAAAGGAAGCCTAAGACTCAGATTTTACTTCCTCTTATGCTCTCCTGTTTGTTCCCCTAAAAAATACTGTTAACCAATACAAAAACCATTAGGGACATAACTTTAGAATCCAGGGGAACAAAAACGTGTCCAGCCCTATTACTCTCCTGCTTGTCTCTCGTGCCCATGTTCCGTGTGCATTCCTTCAGACGAGCGGGGTCCCTGGCACTCAGCAGTCGTCTGGCCTCCCTGGCAGGAACAGTGCCATCATTGGCCAGTTGTCATGGCTTTGCACCGGCACCTGCTGTGTGTCACCTTCCTGGCCCCTCTAGAGGTCTGAGGTGGTGACTCCTCATCTGGGAAGTCCATGGGCTGTCACATACGTCACAGCAGGTGGCAGAACAGACACAGGGTCGGGATGAGGCATTGTGTCCCTGGTTGTGCAGCAATTTGGACTTTGTCTCATACATGGATCCATGGTGTGGTAGAGGGGAACACTGCGCTGTTGGTGGTGTGTGTCATTCCTCAACAGTCCCAAGGGTCTTGGAATAAGGAGGCCAGAAACTAGGCAGCGTGGCACAAGGCAGCAGGCAAAGGGCCAGCGGCCAAATGTTGGGCTAATACTGTGTTTCTCCATGAGGGAGGTGGGGAAGCACTCACCGTGTGCTGGTGTGAGTGGTGTTGCTGATTTCTTTGTCTCATCTGCTTTGCTTTTTTTTAATTTTATTCGTTTTAATGAACATTTACAGAGATTTTGGGTTTTCATTCCTTCATTGTTGCACTGCTCATCTGCTTTTCTGTGCTGAGATCTTATCTGTAGAGTTGATCTTATCATTCATTAATGTTGTTTTACTGTTTAGTCTTTGTGATTGTCCTCTCTTTTATTTTGATGGGGGGGTGTCTTCACCTCACTCCCTTGTGTAGAGACCAGGACGAGCAGGCTCATCTGTCCCTGTGTGTGTTCTCACCTCTCTCACTCATGTTGAGACCAGCATGAGTAGGCTGATCTGTCTCTGTGTATGTCTTCTCACCTCACCTACTCACGTAGAGACCAGGGCAACAGGCTGACCTGTCTTTCTCCCTAGGCCCACGGTGGGAGTGGAAACTTCAGCTGGTCATCGTCAAGCTCTGCAGTTGCCACAGTCACTGTTAAGGGTGTTATGACCACAGGGAGCGACACTGGACTCAGTGTGATCCAGGCACGCGATGTACAGAACCCTCTACACTTCGGCGAGATGAAGGTGCGCCGCGGGGCTGGGACAGCATGTGGGGGGAGGCTTGGATTATTGACTTCTTATCCACCCTTCAGCCTTAATTCATAAGAGCCCTTCACTGCCCAGTCCTGGACTAGGAGGGTGATAGCAGAGATTATCAAATCCCAGGCCTGCCCTAAGGAAGCTAATGGCCTTGGGAGATATCAGGTCACACTTAAGTGTCAGGGGTCCACCAGGCTGGGAATGGGCCTGCAGAGGGCAATGCCAGCATAGCTGGAGTTTCTTGAGGTGGGCCAGAGAATGCAAGAGGCTCAGGGTCAAACCCAACAGATTGTTACTGATAGGTGGTGCGAGTACAACTCTTACCGGCAGCAGATGTGAACCGTGTTCTATCCTGTGCCATCCTCATCATCTCTGACACTAAAACCCATTACTGCAGTCACTGTGTCACACTCTCTCAAGGAAGATCTTCCCCTCCTTCACTAGCCCTTCACCTTTCCAAGCATGATGTCCCTTTCTAAGGACTAGCCTCTCCTAGCAACCTGCTATGAAAGATGAAGCTTTGTCATCTCTGCTTGTCATTGCAAACCAGCAGATAAAGGTACCCAAATCAGAAGAGCATTGAGTTGCAAGCTCTACTTCTCAGTAAAACCAAGCTCCAATACCTTTTCCTTCATCTCTATTTGGATACTTAAGTGGCCCTGCATCAGATCCCTCCACCTGGCATTTGTCCCTTGAATGCTGTGAGACCAACTCAGATAGCATTGGCAGCGTGTGGGCGGCCACTTGCAGCTGTGAGCCCCTTGTAGTGACCTGACTCTATTACCTACCTCTTCTGGCTCAGACCTCAACCCCACTTACTATTTTCCCTGGGGCAAAACTTGACACCCCATAGTGCATCCAGTCACTGTCTCTTGGATGATTTGGGTCACCAGTGGACAGATAGTTCTGGCCTTTGTTGATTTTGTTCAGGTGCACATAAATATCTATCTACATAATGCCAATCTCAAATGAAGAGGTATATAACATAGACACTGTATACAAAGGATCCCTAAAGTGGCCTAGTGGTAAGGAGCTGCACCGCCAACCCGAAGGCACACTGTTCAAGTCTGCCAGCCGCACCGTGGGAGACAGATGAACATTCAACCCCCTGTGACTTACAGCCTCTGAAAACCTGCTGGGAGGTGAGCTATGAGTCAATTCCAACTCAGTGCACATAAAAACATATATACAAAAATGTTTAGAACACAGTATAATTGTCATATCTAGGTGAAGTATGATTACTCCAGGCTTCCCCAGGCTAGCAAGTATGTCACTTTTCACTCAGCTCCCTCAGCCAGAGCCTGAGGACTTCCTCAAGAGTTACAGTGCAGCGGCTCCAGCTGAATCCTGGGCTCTTCCACTTGGGATCACACAGATTCCGCCTTGTCAGAGCCTGAGCGTGTCACTGATGAGTTCCTCATCAGGCCAGTTTTGTTTCACTAAGGATTAGCCATCGTTGTCATCCTTCTTACTGCCCCGCTCTTATTCTATACCGCCGATTTATCGAGAAATCAAGTCGGCTGCACTTTCAGAACATATGTCTCAAATCTGACTTAATCCAGCCCCCTTCAGTGCCATCATTGCTTCTCACCAGGATTTCCCAATAGCCAGAATGGAGGGGACACCAGAGGTTTCCCAACTTGCGAGAGTCAAACCCCGTCCTCCCACAGCCCAGCAGAACTGGCTAACCACCTCTCAGATGCCTTCTGCTCTCCCTCTGCCGGCTTTGCTCCAGCCATACTGCTCTCCTCCCTGATCCCCTATACCCTGAGCTTGGACCTGCCACAGGGTCTTTGCACGAGCTGCTCCTTCTTCCTGCAATGTTATTCCCCAGGCCTTTGGCAGGCTACCTATTTCATGACTCTCCACCCATCTTCTCAGAGGGCCTCCTTAACAGCTCTGTTGAAAGAAGCCCTCACCCTCCATCACATCACTAGCTCAGCCCCACATTGCTAAAGACCGTTTTGAAGAAATTGGTTTATTGGCATGGGGAGGGTCACTTGGCAAGGGCAGGGACTCCCTTGAGAACTGCCTTATTGCCAGCACACAGTCACATCGCCAAATCTGGCTGTGGCTCCTTTCTCCCACATGGATGCTAATGCCTTGGTGCACACCCTACCCCCAGGTGTATGTGATCGAGCCCAGCAGCATGGAGTTTGCTCCGTGCCAGGTGGAGGCACGAGTGGGCGGGACCTTGGAATTGCCCCTGAGGATCAACGGCCTCATGCCTGGAGGTGCCAACGAGGTGGTCACCCTGAGTGACTGCTCCCACTTTGACCTGCTAGTTGAGGTGGAGAACCAGGGCGTGTTCCAGCCACTCCCCGGTAAGTCAGTGCTGGGGAGTGTGGGGTATGGGCCAGGCCGCCTCCATTCCCACACTTGCTGCTCCAGAATCATGCGTGGAGGGTTCAAGGCAGCCTGGGGCAGGGAGTGTTTGTCTTCTATCCAACTCTAGCCTAATCTGACTCCTGTCATCTGTGGGACCCTCTGCAAAAACTTTGCCTGTCTGAGCCTCTGTATTCACGTCTGTAAAATACAGTATTTGTCAGGGGATCTATTTCAAGGCCTGAAAGGCACCAGGTCCTCAGAAGACACCCTTTTGATTGAGTTATTGATGAGAAACCACATCATGATACCTTTAAGCTACTAACCCAAAAAGTGACCGGTCTGAATCTACTGACACCTCCACAGGAGAAAAATGGGCTGTCTTCTCTCATGAGGTTTACAGCCTCTGAAAATCCTCGGGAAGGTCAGCTACGAGTCAGATCCCACTCAATGGCGATGAGGCAGAGTTGACCACGTGCAGGATCACACTCCTGAGCCACTGAGGCTGTAAATAATTCTCTCTTTGGCACCCCATGGGGGTTTGGTGGTAATATCAACAGTGACTGTGGCAGGAGCTATTAGTTTATCAAACATTTGTTTGTTGGTCTCATTAGACTTTATAGTAACTGTGAGAGAAGGGACTGCCTTGTGTCAGGTAAAGAAACCAAGGCCACGTGACCTATCCAAGGCCATGTGACCTCACACAACAGCCAGGCCTTTCGTGTTTGATGCCAGTTGATGATATACAGACCCCTTGTGTTTGAGGCCAGTTCTGGGGCTTTACTCACATAGGACAGGATTGGGCTGTCCCAATTTGTGGTTGAGGGAAAATGAAGAAGGCTGTATTGTTGAAGATGAGAAGGATTGGGGGGGAGTGTTAGAAATAACAGAGGGCAGTGGACAGTTCTCTGGGGTGTGTGTGGGGATGTGTGTTCATACACAGGGACTTGGAGCAGCAGAATTTCCTCATTCTTGAAGAGCTTTAAGTGTCCAAGTAATAGGGAGTCACTGAAGGTTGTTGAACAGAGGAGTGACCCAGATAGGGGGATTTGTTAAGTACCATCAAATCAGAACCAACTCATAGCTGACCTCCAGCAGGTCTTACAAAACAGTTAACTGCAAAGGGAGATTGCCCATTCTTCTTCTAAGGAGTGGCTGGTGGATTCGAATCCTGTACCTTTGGATTGGCAGTTCAATTCCTTACCACCAGACCACTAGCAGAAGCTTAATTGGCAGAAGTGTGCCTAGCATTGCTGATGGTGTAGCAACCCTAAAACTTGCTATAGTTGTGATTACTTACAGAGCTACTTGAATTTGAAACTGTGCAGAGACAGACGCCAGCATCCCTGAGAGACCACTGAGAGAAGTACCCGCGTGCCCTGCCCTGCAGGCATTGCTGAGGCTTGCCCAGCCAGCCAGGGAGCTGAGCTTTATTATACTTTAAATGCCATCAGCAAGGTAGCCGTTTAAGATGGAGCAAACATTGGTGTACTGAGCAAGGAGGGCTTTGGGCATTGGGAGACGAGCCTTGTCCCCTCATAGCCACCACTGCATGGTCACCATGTGTGCCCCTGAGAGGCCTGGAGTGTGTCCCCAGGAAATAGCATACAGGGTCTGGAACTCGGAGTCTGGACTTGAGCGCACCTCCCTTCACTTATCACTGTGTGATATCGAGCTGGTTGCCTGACCTCTCTGTGCCTCAGATTGTCCATCTATAAAATGGGCAGATGGCCCAGCATGTTCTCAGGGCTACGCGTGAGCATCACTCATGATGGAACATTCCTCAAGGAATTGGTGTTTGAAAGGAGAAGGACTTGGGGTGTGAGGATTCCTCTAGAAAGGGCTCCACCTTCCCTGCCTGGCTTTGTGTAGGCTTTGAAGGCCCACATCATGTGGCATTCCCTGGTGTGTGCCGCTCAAGGTTGCACTCCCCTGGTGCAGTGTGGTTTAGGGTTGATGAAGGAGCTGGAGTCTGAGGCACATACGCAGAGCTGGGCGAGGACACCGGCATGCTCCTCTGCACCCAGGCCCAGTTTGTCCTCTCGGGACCCCATTGTTCAGCACCGTTTCTAGGAGCACTGGGGCCACTGCTGAGAAAAGGCTGCTTGTGGAGCGTGGCTGGCAGCCAGCAGGGTCCCCATCATTTTCATTCACATCCATTCTGCCTGTAGGTTTTCAGGTGTCGTGGCTCCTTCTGTAGCCCCTATGCCCTGCCTCCTCCCACTAGTGGAGGGAGTTCTGCCTGGACTGCCTGATGTTGGCTACAGGCAGAGCTGCCTATATTGTAAATCAGCGTGGGGAGAAGGCACGTGCAGGCATACATGAGCCGAGCCGGTTCCCTTCCAGACCACCACAGTAAAGGCAGTGTTGTAATAAAGCGAACTCGTATGTTTCTTGGAGCTCTGGCAGCCTAGCTGTTCTGCTAACATAAAGATGCGTGGTTCAGATCCACCAGCTGCACTGTGGGAGAAAGATAGTCTCCTCCTGTGTGATTTTCAGTTTCTGAAAGCTCAAAGGGGGCTCAGGTATGAGTTGATTCTGTCTTGACGGTGCTTCACAACAGCATACATTTCTTAATTTCCCAGTCCATCTAAAAGATACGCTTATACTACATTGTAATCTATTAAGGGTGTGGTCACATATGAATTTTTATAGGGTTGTTGTAAGTTATACTCAACAGCACACAACAACAGCAGCATTATGAAAAAGTCTGAAAAATTGTAGGCTCACCAAGATGTCACACACAGACACTAAGTGAGCTGTTGGAAAAAGTGGTGCTGATAGACATGCTTGATGCAGAATTGCCACTCACCTTCAATTTGTGATAGACAGCATAGCACAGATACCACAGAACAGTAAAGCAGAGCACAGTAAAATGACATAAGTGCTCTGGGAGGCTGTATGCAGTCCTCCGTGACGAGCACTGCTCTTTATCTGGGGAACAGCCCAGATGACCATTCAGCTGCTAAGTGGATGAACAAACCGGAGCACCTACATCTCGGAATACTACTTAGCAATGGAAAGGAACAACAGCAGCAACACTGAAGAATTTCAGACACATACAAAGCCAGACCCAAAAAGCACATCGCATTTCTGTGAAGTGTTAGGCAAAACTAATCTGTGGTGAGAAAGAAAGTTGATTAGTGATAACCAGGCCTAGAGGAGGAAGGGATGGGCGTGACTGCTGCAGGCCTGGGATTTCTTGTCGCCTTGATGAAGTGTTCTAAAATTAGGTAGCTGTGATGGATGAATAGTTCTGTGAATACGCCGTAAGTGACTGAATTATATAAGGAGTTCTGGTGGCGTAGTGTGCTTTGTGTTGTGCTGCCAAACAGAAAGCTGGTGGCTTAAATCCAGCAGCTGCTGTGAGGGAGGAAGACGCACCGTCACCTCCTGAGACCTGATTGAGGGTCACCATGAGGCAGTTGGTTGGTTTGTGGGCTGTGATGGGATCAAGTCAGAATGGGACGTACTAGCCTCTGAGGGGAGTGGGTACTGCCCAGGACGGAGAGTGAGGGAGCTTTCTGGAAGATGGTCATGGTCATGTTCTGTTTGTTGAAATGAATCTGAGTTCCACAGGTGTATGCACATGTCTGGACTCAAGGAATGAGCAAGATTTGTGTGTTTCACTGGCTAACATCTTACAGAAAGAACCATAAACAATCACTGAATATATCTGCTGTTTAGGGATGAAGTGAATTATATCCAGATGCATTCAGATAATCAGACTGATGTGTGACGAGAGGAGTGGGTAGATAGGGAGCAAGGCAAATACAGGAGGGAGTTGTTCCTTGTAGCGTCTAGGTGATGCTTAGATGGCCATTCATCTTTTCCATACATTTGAAAATTTTAGTAATAAAAATGTTGCAGAGGAGAAAACAATAAAATACCCTAAGACATCTACCAGAATGAATTTCTAGAGAAGATGCAGAACACCAGTGCAAAAGCAGCTGATGTTGTGGGGATGGCTGAGTCCGACTTCTGCCTCCTTCATAAAGGGGAACTGTCCCCATCAATATCTTTGGACACAGACAGCTTCTTGGTCAGACACGCCACCCCCAGTGCTCCTGTACCTATTTCTACGGATCATCGGTTCCATTAGTTCGTTGTTGACTCACAGACTTTACTCACATTTGTGGAGTTTATTAGGGAAATAGGTTGGAGAGTGGAAGAGGCAAAGAATATCACACAGTGCAAGTCCAGGATTAGTCCAGAATTCCCAAACCAGAGTAGCAAAGCATAACTCCTCAGTTAGTGACAGTCTGGGTTCATTTCAGTAGCACAGATACAAGAAGCCTCTGGTTTCCTTTGTTATCCAGCAGACTTTATCTCAGAGGAGAAAAGGTCAGCTTTTCCATCAGTCATCCAGTAACTAAAACTTTTAACTGTAGTATAAATGCAGAGTTCCTCAGGTTACACTTTGCCACAGTCTCTTCACAGTAGTGCACAGTCACCACCCTCTCTCCATCACTGTCACCAGGATACTTCACAGTGTGGAAAGCTTTTTCTCTTATATTGGTCCCAAAGCTTTAGATGATTTGCAAGACCATGCCCCCACAAAAGGGGCTAATGCAATGGTTAGAAAAGCCAATTTTTAGGGTTTCTGATACCACAACCAGTTTTTGGAAGGGATGTAAAGAAGCTAGTCAAATAAAACAAAGCTTTTGGGGAACATGAGTGGCAGTAACTGAAAAGGTGAGCAAATGCACTCCCTGTAACCAGCAGTTCCACTCATGGGTTTATGTCAAACAAATACCCAGATGTGTTCACCAGTAGAAATGTGCAGAAACTGTCACAGCAACAATACATCATCAGAACCCCAAACTGGAAGCCACGCAAATGTTTATCAGTCATAGCATGGATAAATGGAACATATGCGCAAATGTAGATGGAATAAGGAAGTATGTTGTTGTTGTTGTTGTTGTTTGCCGTCGGATTGCCCACAACTCATAGCATCCCTATGTATAAGAACTCTGAAGGCTGTCCTGTCCTCACCCATTCTCATTGACTCCAGCACACCTACCCCCATTACCCTAGTTACTGTGTCAATCCATCTGCTTTGGCATCTTCCTTTCCTAAACTGTCCCTTCACCCTTCTGAGCATGATATTCTTCTTCAAGGATCCGTCCCTCCTGGCCACTTGTCCCAAGTATGTGAGACTGAGCTACAAAATACTAGCCTCCAAGGAGAAACTTGGTTTTACTCTCTCTAAAGCAGACCAGCACCTCAACTCAAAGACATCGGTTTTTCGATCATCCTTGGTCAATGTCCAGCTCTCTGATGCATAAAAAAGTAATTATGAAAACCATGGCCTGAATCAGGCACATCTTAGTCTCTGGACTGACACTGTTGCTTCTCATTACTCTGGAGAGGTCTCTGACCACAGGTTTTTCCCAGTGCGATTCATCTTTTAATTTCCTGACTGCTGGTGCCAAGAGTGTTTATTATGAAGCCGAGCAAGCTGTAATTGTTAACAACCTCAGTCTCTTCGTCTAACCAGTATAAAATGCAAGGAGGCAGATATAAAGGAGTTTCTACTCTGTGATTCCATTTGTATGAACTTAGAAATAGTTACAGCTGCTGCAGACCACTCTGGTGTTGTCCCCTAGAGGGAGAGACTGGAAGAGCCTGTGGAGATTGGGAATGCTGGTCTTTCTGTGTCTTTCTTGAGACAGGTACTACTGATGCAGAAGTGTGAGCTATTAATGAATAAATCACAGGGAGTTGAATGCTTGTGAGTTAATAAGTTTAGTTGCGTGTGGTGTCCAGGATAGGAACCGGACTCTCGGCTCCTAGGTCTTTTCCACCAGTGGGAGGAATGATGGTTACTCGGCTATCCTTCCTTCCTTGCAGGGAGGCTCAAGCCAGGATCCGAGCACTGCAGTGGCGTCCAGGTGCAAGCAGAGGCCCAGGGTCACACCACCCTCCTCGTGAGCTACAAGCACAGCCACATCCACCTGAGTGCCAGAATCACCATTGGTGCCTACCTGCCCCTCCAGGTGAGCTCCTCCCCACCCACTCTGCCTGCGTGTCTCTTGCCTGATTTGAATCATTCATTTGTTCTAATTCAAAAACCATGATGGTTACAAATAGCTCTGAGTACAACTGTTTGACCCTGTGGCTTTCTGACCAAGGTTAGGAATGGGAGATCAGAGAGAGACTTGGTGTAGCTCCCTCCATCTGTGTGGAAAAGGAGAGAGCCTTTTAGCGCGCCCGCATCTCTCCCCATCACAGGCTATGATTCCTGATGTTAGTTGGCCAAGAGCTCTCTCTAGAGACAATGACTGTGGGCTCAGGTCCCTTAAATATTCTCAGGAGGGTTCCTGTTGCTCTCCTTGGGATCACAGAATGGGCACAGCAGTCCTGGGTTCTCATGCACGCCCTGAGGCCTTTGAGGCCTTTAATCCCTGGCTCAGCCCTCGAAGGAAATCATGTTCTCGATTCCCATCTGTGGAGAGAGGTGGTCATTCTTGAGGGCTTTTGTGGTTCAGTTCACACAGCCTTTGTTTTAGCAGCAGCCTCCCAAGTTTAAATCAATTCCGACATTCAACAGCTGTGTGATTCTGGCCAGTATACTTTGTGCCTTGCTTTTTTTTCCTGTCTGTTAAATGGGGCTAATGCCATACCACCTCAAAGTTGGGATAATGAGGAGGAAATGTATGAGAGGGGACAGTGTGTGGTGAGTTCCCAGTAAGGGCTAGCTATTAAAAATACCTATGACAACTTCAGTCATTTTTGTTGCTGTTGAAAACAAAAATATTTTATTTCCTGAAGGAATATTTCTGAGTCCCCACCATGTTTATATCTATTTTTTTCTGTCTTGAAATATTTTTTCTTTTTTTTTAGTTTTTGTTTTCTACAGGTTTACATACAAAGGTCATAAAATACATATATGTTGTTTTTCACACCACATCTTTGCTCTTTCCTTTATCCATCCCTCCCTCCAGAGTATCCTTTTTAAGAAATCTTCACAAGTAATGATTTATTCATTTCACATAGCTTTTTTCCCCTTCTGTTTTCTTAAAGTTTTATTACTTTTTTTTTTTGCAGAGGGGAAGAAAGAATTAGGAAAGATCCTGTAGGATCTGAAAAAGATGGAATAACAGTGGGCATAGATCAAAAGTGATTCATTTTATAAGATAAAATGTATGGAAATGATAATATAAAGCAGTATAAATGAAGGAATATATGAAATATAATGTATATGAATTTAAAAAAGTCAATCTATTTTGCATTTATCATGATGCTATTGGTGCAGGAATAGATTCTTTTGAATTGTACGTTGGCCAAGAGCATTGCCAGAAGAACATACAAATATGTCTTGAAGGAAGTACAGCCAGACTGTTGTTAGAGGAAAGGGGGGTAAAACTTCATCTCACATACTTTAGGCAGTCTGTCAGGAGGGGCCAGTCTTTGGAAAAAGACATCATGCTGAGAAAGGTTGAGGGTCAGCGAAAGAGAGGAAGGCCCTAGACAGCCTTTTGTCTGTTGACACAGAGACTGCAGAAATGGGCTTCAACATGACAGTTATGGTGAGGATGGTACAGGATAGGGCAAGGTTTAGAGCTGTTGTCCATAGGGTCGCTGTGAGTCGTCATTGACCCAACAGCACCTAACAATTTAAAAAAAAATGTGGACCTCAGCCTAGCACCTTCATCAGTAAGACGGTGGATGTTTGCATTTCCATAATTCCCAGGCAGTTTTCAGCTCTTGTTTTGTCATGATGTTTTTTCCTGTTGCCCTTGACCATTTATTTGCTGCATACCCTGTGACATTAGGATCTCTGCCTCTGAACCCCTAGCTCTTGGCTTGCACCCTGATGCAGAGCTCTTACCGATCAAGGCTTGTCTATTTTAGAGTGACTAACTGAGGAGATGTCTAAGGTTACCTAGTCAGGACTGAGACCTAAGTGTCTTGATTGCAAAACCAGAAATTGTAGGCACTAATAGAAGTCTTTGGGTGCAAAGGCCCAGCTTTTCTCCTATGATGGGTACATTCTATTTGTTAGACCCAGCTGAGGCCCTAGAGTTACAGTAATGCAAAAGCAGAAACTTTGCCCTTGTGTCTTAATTTTTTAACACAGAGAGAGAAGGGTAGAGACAGTCAATAAACAACCAATGGCATGTGTTTTGTTTATCTGTGCCACTGAATACATACATTGATGAGAAAGAGGGTGATAGGGCATGAGAAGAGAGAGTGGCAAATTAAAATTAAGTTGGCATTCTCTTCCTAAACAGAGCACTAGAGAAGATGAGAGGGGCTAGAAATGAAAGTTCAAGAGAATTAAAATCTCTATCCCTGAAATAGACTATATAGGGTTCATTTGGTAGCTCCATAGTCAAAAGGAATCCAGACTTCTGTCTTTTCATGTATCATTCTCAATACTTTCACCTTCGAGTTTGCCTCATGATCTCGAATGGCTGCTGGCGTTCCTGTCATCACATCTGCATTCCAAATAGTATGAAGGGTTTAGAGGCTCAATGAGTTACTTCTGTGGCCTTCACCATCTGTTTTCTGCTCCTTAAGAATATCTAAAGCTTAGCTTTATTATCTGACACCTTTTTAGATCATTTACAACAATTTCCACTTGCATCTCATAGGTTAGAACTTGGTCTGTTGATCACTCCTACTTGCAAGTGAGACTGGAGGTATTCTAGCTCAGTAAAATGAAGTATTCTAGCTCAGTAAAATGAGGGTTCTTTCCCCAAAGAGGAAAGAGTGTAGAAGTGAGGGTAGCAGGTAATAGTAATCGCTACAACTGGAGGTTTTGGGGTTGTTGGTTTTTTTTTTAGTTTTGGGGTTTTTGGTTTTTTTTTGGGTGTTTTTTTTTTTCAGTCTGTCCATTCTACAGATGGTCACCAGGCCCTTGGTTATTGTCAGACTCAGGCTGGGAGGCAGAGTGTCTGGGGCAATCACAGTGTGTATTCTTAACTGTTCTATGGGGAGAGCAGACAGTTGCAAGGTGCAGTATAGTAGAGGTGGGGACACATATTTTTTAAATTTTTAAAATTTTTTCAGTTTTAATTGTGATTTTATTGTAAGTTTATAAAGAACTTGGATTTCCATTCATCACCCACCCCCAGTTCATTTTTTCTTTAGAAAAAAAGTTATTTCATTGTTATACAATCCCTCCCACAGACCAATTTACTATGCAGCTCTTATACTGGCCTCTTTTGGTACCAATAATACCTAATCATATATTCCTTTTATATGGTTGTCTCCCTTGTCTGTTTCAGTGCTGTGTACATTATTTATCCTCTCTTTTCTTAATTTTCCCCCAATCCCCGTATCAGTCCTGTTTTATAACAGTGGAATTACACAGTATTTTTGTGACTGAGATATTTCATTCAGCATCATGTCCTCCATGGTGACCCATTTTGTATAATATTTCATGAGTTCTTTGCTTTTCAATGCTGCATAATATTCCACAGTGTGAAGACACCACAGCTTCTCTATCCATTCGTTTGTTGATGGGCACTTTGGTGGTTTCCATCTCTTTGCTATTGTGAACAAAACAGCATTTTGTGGGAAGAGAAGCAGAGAGCAGGCATGGAGGCAAGAATTTCAGCCTGGGGGAAAACAGCTGGAGGTGGTATCTCTGAGGGAGGAAGGCCTACACTAAGGGCCTGGGACAAATTCATATTGGTTTGGTTTTGAACTTAGTCCAAACTCTTTTATTGCTGAATTGAAGAAAGTGATTTCTAAAGGCTTTGACTTGACAAGATTCAATTAACTATAAGAAATCTGGAGTCTAATCTCCGGTAGCATTTTGACACATTCTGCCTACCTTCCATGCTTGGGCTGATCTGATTAGTTTACCCAGAAGTTCCCAGGAATTTTTTTGTTACTGTGATCATTTTAAAAAGAAATTACATCTATAATAGTGTTTACCCTTATTAACTCTGTTTCTTCTTAGTTATTCTTGCTTACTGACTGTGCATTGCTGTGTCTTCCCTTTCTTTTGTGGTATTGTACTAAAATTGTATCACCAGTGGAGTCATCCTAGTGTTTCCCTTAAGTCATCTTAATATGTGTGTCTGTTACTTGGTTACTGAGTTTTATTCCCTTCTTATCCCTAGTAACCATTCAAGAATGGTTCTTTCTGTGTGCAAACCAGGGGGTTTTGAGTGCTGAGTCAGGAGCTGGGTAATCTCATGTAGCAGACAGCAGCTGCTGAAGGTCAGGGACTGACAGTAGCAGACCCGCTCATAAGAACTCCATGCTGGCAGGAGCGTGGGTAGCTTGAAGTCACACTATAAAGAACCTCTCCCATCCCTAGAAAACCAGGTGTCATGGGGCCTGCTCTCCCCGACTTCCTCTGACCTGCACCTAACCTCCTCCACAGTGTGGCCGGAAGGGTTCTGCTATCACTGGGCTTCACCCAGCTCCTCCGCTGTCAGCTTCCAGTTGGTCTTCAGCCTTTGTCTGCTGCACGGGACTTTTGGGCCTTTGTCCCTGTGAAGCATGCTCTTGGCCTCTAAGTGCCCCTGGCTCCTTGATTCTGATGGGCAGTGTGGATGATACAAGTAGAGACTGAAGGCTCGGAGCCAGCTGGTTGTGGATAGGGCATTGACCACCCTGGGCGTGTGTCTTAACCTAGACTGAGGAAGAATGTCAAGTATGGAATGAAATGCAGAATCCAATTCCTGGAACTGTAGGCTGTTGACCCCAAGGGCCTCTTAAATGATCCAGCTTCACCTTCTTGTTTTATAAACTAGGAAATTGAGCTTCAGATAGTCACATTCTGGCCATGCCTTTGCCAATTAGAGTGTTTGTGTTTTAATAGCAGGGCCTTTTAGAGTGTTTGTGTTTTAACTCAGTGGAGCCTGTGTTGTTTATGAATGTCCTTTGCTGGCTGTGCTGATGACTAACTTGCCTTCTTGGCACAGCGCTCTGACACTTGCATGGCTGAGCAGTAACGAGATGAAGCATGGAGCTGATCATTCAAAGCTCTCCAGCCTGTCACGGCCATGTAGTATGTTGGATATTAAGTAAAATGGGGACCAGACAGGAACCTGGCCCTGGCAAGGGAGAAAGCAGGGAGCTTGCTGGATGACCTCCTAAGCCCTAAGGCCTGGTAGGAGTTGCCCAGGTCAGGAAGAAGGCAGCAGGACAGCTCTGGTGAGGGCCCAGAGACAAGAGAGTGGGGTGCTGAGTTCAAGTCTGAGGAGGTCCCGGATACAGTGGGAGCCTATTTCCTAGCACAGCAATTGTGGGACTGTTTCATGCAGAAAGGACAGACATGGTCAGGCCCATGTTTTAGGCGAGTATTTCTGGCTCATCTTGAAGGGTGCAGTGCAAAGGGCTAAATGGAAGCACATTGACCAGTGAGGACATGCTAGCATCTCAATGGTCCTCTGGAGTGAGAGGTCAGACACATGGAGGCCAGGTGTGAAGGACATGACCACAGACCCTCAGAGAGATGACTTCCATGTACCTTACCTCTATCTGGAGGGTGCCATCCCCCCTCCATCTAGGTGAGCACGAATCCTTCACTGTAGACCCTCAGGACTGCCCTTGTTGTGTGATAGGTCCTGGGACATGCTGTGGAAGCTGCAGGATCCCCCAGCACCCACTTACAGCAGCCCGAGAGCAAATGGAAGCCTTCCATAAAAAGATACCTTACCACTTGCTGCCAGGACATAGTAATTGTATTTCCAGTTCACTCCTTTATTTAACAAATAATTCTTTACTCCCTCCTGTGTGCCAGGCCTTGTATTATGTGCGAGGGACAAATCAGGTAGAAAGGCCTATCTCAGAGTTCAGGAGTTAAAAAATAAGGATAACAAGGTAAAAGGTAAGGGGAAAAAGCCACTAATGATTATGCCAGGAAAGTGTCAAAGTCTGCACTAGGCCATCCGGTGCATTTCCATCTTCGAATTTTAAATGTGTTTCTAGTACAGCATTGTTGATCAACCTATGTCCCTCAGTGTGCATCCCGCCCATTGCAGAGATTGCTGGAGGGAGCTGTAACGTGTTCCATGGTCTGTATTTACCGTGTTTACTTCTTACTGTGGAGCTTACACCAGAATTGTCTTAGTAAGGAATCCTCTTCCTGTTCCTTCTTCTGCAGGCTGTGGATCCCTCCTCTGTTGCCTTGGTAACCCTGGGCTCCTCAAAGGAGATGCTGTTTGAAGGTGGTCCCAGACCTTGGGTCCTTGAGCCTTCCAAGTTCTTCCGGAACATCACCTCTGAGGATACGGACAGCATCAGTCTGGCTCTCTTCGGCCCCCCCGCCTCCCGGAATTACCAGCAACACTGGGTCCTGGTTACTTGCCGGGCCCTTGGCGAGCAGGTAAGGGGGCTGCCCGGCCCGGAGTGAGCAGGTGAGGGGACTCCCACCACAGATACAGCTACTGGAGAGGGAAGAATGGGAAATCACACTCCCTGAGAACCTACCTTAGAGCAAAGCATTCTTTAATCTTCACAGTAACCCTGAGAGATGGCTGTCCTTGTACCCATTTCAAAGACAGTCAAACTGAGACTTGGTTGAGTAGAAAGCCTGAAGGTCAGTAAGGAAATTCCTTGTCCCACTTCATCAGTAAGGCTGAGGAGCTGCTTGACCAGCCTGTTGGGATCTACCAGAAGTGCCATTGGAGTGGCTGTGGATGTCCTGAGGACAGGCCATCAGTTGTCACCATCTGGCCAGTCTCATAAATTCATAAAGGGGACAGTGAAGGCAGGGGCTCCTTCCCACTGGGGACCTATCCCCCAACCACCCTGTTTAACATATTCCCTGTGGGTCTTGGTCCTTCATTCACCAGCACACGTTCTCAATCTGTACCACATTATAAGTATTTACATCCACAGGATTCCTTATTAAAAAACCCAGAAACTTAGCACACATAGTTTATAAAGATGCTGATCTCCAACCTACGTTGCTGTATCATCTGTACATGACTATTGATCCCATTCCTGCCTGGTCAAAGAAGAATGAGGAAGTAATTGCTCCAGAGGACTCTGTTGTTGATGTTACGTGCTGTGATCCTATGCACAACAGCCCTAAACCCTGCTCTATCCCATGCCAATCTTATTATCTCCAACACACATACCCTGATTACCCCAGTCACTGAATCAATCCATCTCATCGAGGGTCTTCCTCTCCTGCGCTGTCCCTCCACCCTCCCAAGTGACTTCCCTCTCCAAGGACTGGTCCGTCCTTGCAGCATGTCGTCCTTGCCTCCAAGGAGCAGCCTGGTTTCACCCTCTCCAGGGTGAACCTGTTTGTTCTCTTAGCAGCCCATGGTATATCCAAAACTCTTCTCAAACGCCACAGCTCAAAGGCATCAATTCTGCTTCTATAATTCCTAGTCATTGTCCAGCTCTCTGATGCATAGAAAGTGATTGCAGAGACCATGGCCTGTATCAGGCACACCTTAGTCTCCAGATTTTATATCATTGCTCCTCAGTACTTTGGAGAGGTCTCTGACAGCAGACTTTCTCAAGGCAATGCATATTTTAATTTCTTGGCTGTTGGTGCCAAGAGTGTTGATTGTGGAGCCAAGCAAACTGAAGCTGTTTACAATCTCAGTCTCTTCACTTTCTATCACGATGCTGCCAATTGGCATCCAGCTGAGTTCAAAAGGACTAGATGCCCTGCTCCTACCATGAGCACTCTGACTAGGAACTCAGCAAGCAGTCCTCAGATAGAATGGGTGGCAAGTGTAGAGCAAAATGTCAGTTCTTTTAGAAGGCCAGGCAGATTTATCAGTCTGATAGAGGCTGGAGGAACCCCGGAAACAGTTGTACTGAGCTATTCCTAGAGGCCCGCTCAGAACCAAACAGACCAGCCTATAAAATAGACTTAACACCACTGAGAAGTGTGCTCAATGCAACAGTCAGCTGTATGAGACCAGAAGGGCAGCAGGGAAACTGGAGGAAGGAAAAGGAGGAGTCCTGGGTGAAAACAGGAGTGCTGCTCCATTGTGGGGCTCGCCACCACCACTGCAGACCAGCTTCCGTGTGCATTACTGAGGGGAAGTGAAATTCATGTGTGAGCCTTCACCTAAAGCACACTGAGGAAGAGAAAAGCAAAGCCAGGACTCCAACATTTATTAATGTAGCTGAGAGATCTGCCAGTGACCGTTCTCAGAAGCCACGGCATCACTTGGAGCAGGCAGGGGTTGTGCTCTGATGGGGTTTAGAGAAGGCTTCCATCTGAAAGTCTCTTAAACACTGGACAAGTGCTTTTCCACACATCGTTGTATCTTTGAAAACACCCCTTGGAATGTAGGTATCCATGCTCCCATTTCACAGAAGAGAAAACTGAGTCTGGGGGAGCTTGAAAGGCATGGCTTAGCTCCAGGAGAAGCAGAGACTCGTACTCACGTGTATCTGGCCAAACCCTCTGCTCCACCCAGATCATTGCCCTCTCGGTGGGGAACAAGCCCAGCATTACCAACCCGTTCCCTGCAGTGGAGCCTGCTGTGGTGAAGTTCGTGTGTGCCCCACCATCCAGGCTCACCCTCACGCCTGTCTATGCCAGTCCCCAGCTGGACCTGTCCTGCCCACTGCTGCAGCAGAACAAGCAAGTGGTGAGTACCAGCAGGTTCTGGGATGCACGTCACCACTTGGGAATAGGGCTTGGTTGCCTCCACCTGCAGCAGAAACTGGGCACTCTGCCTCCTAATACATGCACCAGCCCTGCAGTGTGTGTGATTACTCGCACTAGCCCTGCACCGTGTGTAATTATACGCACAAGCCATGCAACATGTATAATTTTGCCCAATTGTATCTGTGTGGGGAGATCCACAACTTTAATATCAGCGTCACGAAAAGAGAGTCTTACCTGAACTTGACAGTTGGGCATTTGTAAAGACAGGACCGTTTTCTTCCATACCAGAGCAGTGTTAGAGAGAAAGGCCTGTTTGGTCTGTGGGCAGTGTATGTAAATGGTCAGAGCTAAAGAGATTGGCCAGGCCAGTGCAATATTTCTCCATGATATGGGCAAGTATGGGGTTGATTAGGAATGTAAGCCTGGGAAGGTGAGAGAGCCATTTGAGGGTCAAATGAAATGCAAAGTGAAGCCCATGGTCTGGTACCCCTAGACTTCCAGCCAAGGACAGTTCAAATCCCTCGGGCATTTAGCCTCTCAACAACCAGGGTACTGAATGTGGAGGAGTTGACGGCATCCTTACCTGGGCCCTCCCTCTAAGGTGCATGGATACGGAACACTCTTCCAGATGCTCTCGGCCCCCAGCACCCTCTCTGAGGAGCTGAGCCTCCTGTAGACAGCAGGCTCCTCTCCTGTCCCTCAGTTCATGTGTGTGGGCACCTGCCCTGTGCTGGCATCATTCTCGACCATGCAAGTACAGCAGTAATCAGGACAAGAAGTCTGTCTCACTCAGCCAACGAGAAAATCAGGAGGTGCACAGATAATCAGACTGTGTCAGGGGTGGAAAGGAAGTAAAATAGGGACAAGGTAGGTGGCTAGAGGTGGCCACTTGATACAGAGTTAGGAAAGGTCTCTCTGATGAGGATGAAGACAAATTTGCATGAGCCAGCTGAGAAGAGCTGAGGATATCCCAGACAGGGAGATTATCAAGTGCAAAGGCCTTGGGGCCAGACGAGGGACTCTGGTGTCTCTACCACTTGTGCAATAATCAGAATAATTTTTGCGTGGCATGTATGTTAACAAATTCTACTTTATTCTACCCTTAACCATGAACCATCTCAGAGGTGAAAGTGATGGGTTCAGAATCACAAAGGCAGAACGTCAGTCTGTCCAGTTCCAGATTCAGCCTTCTCTGCGGCTGTGTCTCTCCCCCTTTGGGGCAGTGTGTTCTAGGAGTTAGCTCCTTGCTGGCCAAATCTGCCTGTGATCCAGTTGAATCTCCTTGAAGCCTTAGGGAAGGTGCTCACCAGCGTTGGGGGTTCAGAGAACAGTTCCGTGACCCTCCTCAGGCCTGCTGCGGCCTTCACTTCTCCTGCAGGCATTTGTTCATCGTTGTGTCCTCTGGTAGTTGACGGGGAGGCTCTGCCTTCCCTGAGACTGTGCAGATCTCTCAGTAGTGGGGCAGGAGAAAGGTGGTTCTGTGAGTAAGCCCCCCACTATCAAGGTCTTCCAAGAGGAGCTATGGTGGCGTGGTGTGTTATATGTTTGTGACGACAAGTTAGTGGCTCAAATCCACCAGCTGCTCTGAGTGATCTAGATGGACAGTTTCCTCCCATAAAGATTTACACCTGGGAAACCCAGAGGAAGGTTGACAGGAGCTGGAATGAAATAAAGGCTTGAGTCTTATAAGGAGAGGTGGCTCTAAAGGACCAGTAAAGAGTAAGCATTGTTCACTTTCTGTGATTCCCGCGTGGCATGCCCTTTAGAGCGTGCCCCCTCAGAGAAGTAAGGGTTGCTGGAGCCCCTGGTCTGGGAGCCTTGGCTTGTTGTCAAGGAGACGACGTTCACCCCTAGTCGAACACATGACCATCTTTTCCGAGCTGGGGGGTTGGTAAAATCAGTGGTGTGATCAAAACTTTTTCCTCCTGACTTAAACTGCTGTTTGGAGGAAAGTTCTCAAAGTTTTACACTTTAAATCCTTTTTGGAGTGCATAGATGATGCAGGTGGTTAACTCACCGAGCTGCTAACCAGAAGGTTGGAGGTTTGAGTCCATCCAGAGCCATCTTAGAAGAAAGATCCAGTGATGTCCTTCCAAAACTGTCAGTTCTAGAAGCTCTGGGGTGCTGGGTTCCAAGCAGACCCACATGGGGTCAGTATAACTCAGGGTTGGCCTGTTCCAGGACCACCCTCCACTCTGAGGGTCCTTGTTCCCATTAGCAAGAGCAACTGAGTGAGACACCAGATGTGTCATGTAAGCAAGGAGTTTATTTCATGAGAAGATAATTTGGGGCTGGGCTACTTCACCACGGGCCACCTTTTGGCTTTTCTAGCCATTGACCTTCATGCTCGTTGGGTTAATTTCCCTTCACTCTCATCTTACTAATTACCCGTGAAAGTATGGAGTTCAGCTACTTCATGCACCTCTCCCTGTTTTAGATAGTCTGTCTCTAGTTTGCCATCCCTGTCAAGCCAATACTCTGAGGAAACAAGCATGTTTCTTTCAATAACCTTCTGCTCTGGTTGCAGCTGTGAGATTATAGCAGTTTGCACCAGCTCACAGTGTCCCGTGTGTGCTGGGTGCCAGTGGGCATGTCCAGCTTAGCCATCTCTTCATTGCTGCTTTCCTCTTCTCCCACTCAGCCTGTGGACCCAGGTGGTCTCCATTACTTCATGGGCATTGGCTCTCCTGCCTCAAAGACAAACCACTTCGATTTTAAATCTCTTTTCCATTCTACAGCCCTTAATGGGTCTATGTGTCCAGTCAAGTGCACATTTTTAGAAGAGTATCTTAGTACAGTTAATCAGGACAGCTTCTCCAGCGTCCTCACAGGCCCCCTTACTTCCAGCCTTGTGACTTTAGATCAGTGTTATCCCCCAGTCCTGCCAATGATAGCATCCTTCCCTCAGATCTCCAGGATGCCTGCACAAAGGCCCTCCGCTCCTCTGGGTGGCAGGTCCAGCTCAGCTGTGTCTTCTGTTTAGCACTGGTTCTCCACTGCTGCTGCTGTCGTCTAGGTCTTGGTCAGATTCTTGCTAGTATCTGTGGTCCAAGTAAGGGGCACGCTAGCACTGTCTGCTACTGCTTCCAGAGAGCTGTTGTTATTGTTATGTGCTGTCTAATCGCCTGCAACTCACAGTGACCATATGTACAAGAGCTCTAAATCCTGGTCTATCCTGTGTGAACCTTATTATCGCTGACACAACTACGCCTATTACTCCAGTCACTGAATCAATCTACCTCATAGAGGGTCTTCCTCTCCTGCTCCATCACTCCACCATTGCAAGCATGATGTCCCTCTCCAAGGACTGATCCCTCCTTGCAACACACCCAGAGTATGTCAGACGGAGCTTCAGAATCTTTGCCTCCAAGGAGCTGCACCCTCTCTAGGATGAACCTGTTTGTTCTCCTAGCAGTCAATGGTATATTCAACACTCTTCTCCAGCACCACAGCTGAAAGGCATCAGTTCTCTTTCTATCATCCCTAGTCATTGTCTAGCTTTCTGACACATACCAAGTAATTAGAAAGACTATGGCCTGGATCAGGCACACTTTAGTCTCCAGACTGACATCATTTCCCTAGCTCTGGAACCAAGATTGTTGACTGTGGAGCCAAGCAAACTGAAAGTGTTAACAATCTCAGTCGCTTCACCATCTGTCATGATGCTGCCAATCAGCTCAGTGGGGAGAATCTTTGTTTTCTTGATGATGAGCTTCAATCTGTATTGAAGTCCTTGATGTTCTACAGCAAGCGCTTCAGATCCTCCTCAGTTTCAGCAAGCAGGGTTGTGTCATCTGTATAATGCAGATTGTTGATGAGGCTTCCCCCAGTCCTGATGCCACATTCCTCATCATAGAGCCCTTCCTTCTGGATGATCTGTTCCACATATAGATAGAAAAGGTACAGAGATAGGACACATCCCTGCATATACCCTTCCCGATTTTGAACCATGCAGTGTTTCCTTGCTCTGTTCAGATGACTGCCTCCTGCCAAGTATGTTGTTGTTGTTATGTGCCGTCGAGTCGTTTCCGACTCATAGCGACCCTATGCACAACAGCCCTAA